AGTTACTGATTTGCAAGCTGCATGTTAAGGCAGCCCATGTAAGTAATTTCTCCGGGCACCCCAGCAAAGGAGAACAAATCGCTGACAAAGGCGAGCGCTTTCGATTCAGCGGCGTCGTTAGGGCAACCCCAAAGTATTCCCCCTATAATAAGTTCCACTTCAAAGGGTTTCTCATTCAGCGGTGACTGCTTCGCACTTTTATTAAGTCCGGGCTTTTTCACTCGGAGGAATCATCTGTTTGGTTATTTTTCATCGTGTTTATTTTTCACCATTCACACAGTACTTGTATTAAATAAACAAAGAACAATCGCTCTGCAAATAAAAGTACTTAGGTGGGGAGAGAAGGAAGAGGAACCGGGACTCTGGCGCCCCTGCCCCTCCCCCTCCACACCACCTACCCCACCCCCACTCTGGCTCTCTCGTCATCATTCTTTCTTCTTTCTTTGGAGCTAGGAGGTTCTAAGGGAGAATTGGCAAAAAAAAGGTGACAATAAATGTGTACATGTATACAAATATATACATATATACATATATGATTTTCTGATATGAAAATGGACTGAACTAACTTAGTAAGAAGGGAAAGGTCACTGCAACTGTATCTTAATAGAGTGTCTCCAATGGTCGTGGAACGGCTGCCAGAGACTCCCCTAGCCCTGCCCATTGCTGCCATAGCAATGCTGAAGCTCTGCGTGGATGTCCCATAAAAGCAGTAGTTTGAATTTCAAAGAACATGCCTTTGAACTTCTCCCTGCCTGATTAGACCATGGGGTTGTATGTGAATGCGTGCTCTCGGGAGTGTTTGTGAGTGGGCGTGGGGGCCATTGCTTCTGGGAGGTTTTGTTCAGGGAGAGTGCTCTCACTGTGGGCCTCCTCCACCATTGCTCCAGACCTGGAAGGTTTCCATGGTCATGTGTCCTGTTGCGGTATCCTACGGGTGGATGGGCCAGCGGGTAGGGCTGTGACAGGATGGAAGTATTAATAAGCATCTGGATTGTTTTGTTTGCCTTGTGATCAGCTTTCCTTTGCTGTGATTTAAGGTGATCACTTGGGAAAACAGATCATCTTGCCTCCCCCTTCTCCAGATGTTGTATTTCCTAACCAAAGTGGGATTTAAAAAAAAAAAAATTATTTCACAGCATAGACAGATAAAGCTACAATGGCCTCCCAAAGCTTCCACAAAATGAAAGACATCACTTATGAGAATGCAGTAAAAACGTGACATCTGCAAACAGCTGGGCCCTTTGGTTTGGGCCCCTTCTTTCTTCAGGTCCTCAATGCAATGATACTTGTGTGCCCACCTCCAACTCAAGAGAACATAATTCCCATTACTGAGCTCTTTCCAGATAAGTTTGATTTTAGGAGCATTAGCTTTACAAAAGAAAATCCAAAATATAAATACAAGTAATCATATATTTAGAGATTCTCCTAGCCTGGAAAACAAAGGTAGATGATTTAAACAGGGCTTGCAAAGGCCACGTTTTGCCCAGGGAAGATGAAGTCTTTGATGATAGCCAACTTAGTGTCAATAAGTGGCTTTCTTTGAGACATATTCAGATGGGAACGTCTTGCTTGCCAATTGCCATAGAAATCTTAACACACCATGAAGATTGTCCAAGCGCCAAGCCTTCCGTTCTGGACTAAATTACTTTGAAGTAGCGCAGGACGAGCAGTGGTCAATTTTAACTCTATAGACTGGACAGAGAACGCTGGGAGTGAGAGATTGTGCGTTTTAAAGCAGAAAATAAGAAGGGGAAACTTGTTTTCTACACTCTATACAAGGTTCTGCTCATTGTCGGATATCTTTTATCTTTTATATTTCCCATGAATGATTCATGTCTTGGTGGCTTTGTGTCACCCTTCTTTTCACAAGAAACTTCATTAGAGAGCTATAAGTTTTCCCATTGATTGGAGCTCCATTTATAAGTGTTTTTCTCCTTCGAGTGCTGGTTATTGTCATCTGGTTTAAAACAACTCTTGGCAACCTGTTTCACCTTTACTACATTTAGCAAACCTGACTTTCAAAAGTCACTATAGTGACTTTTTGGAGAAATGTTTAGTGACATTACTACTGATTGTTTTTAACTATCTGGCTTTTATCAGCTTTGTATTAGGTAACAGAAACAAGCAAACATCCAGCATTGTTAATGTACATTGCCAAATACACTCATTTCAGCCACTTGAATATTTTGTTGCCATGAAAGAATCTAATTTCTCTTTCATACCTGGGCCAAAGTGCTTAGCTTAAGTTACTGTTACCTACTTCCAAAATAAGCTACAGTAAATTATATTTCCTTTCTCCATGATCTATGAGAGAATGTTAATGACCACTACTCAATTTCATTCCACACCCGTATCAGCTCAATAATTTTGCTTTTACCTTTCTTATTAGCCTTTTCCTCTTCCATTAGAGGTTAGGCACCAAACAGAGCTAAAATCATTCTTCAGCTTTTCACTGACTAGAATCACTAAGCATACTCCTAACGTTAGCAAACGAGGGCAGTAAACCCTGAGACTTGTGTTCCTACAAGTGCAAACTGCATGGATTAGTCTTCATAAATACGTTGAATTTTCTAAATTAAACTGTAAGTTAAATCAAGCTGTAAAAATATTTTATTGCTTGAAGAAAGGCTAAATGATCAAGGGAGGCCAACCTAACGTTCATTACTTAGCAAATGCTCTGTATTAAAAGAATGACAGCGATATGCCATTAGGTAAAATGTAACAATACATAGGAAGAATACCTTTATTTCATTTTTCCTTCATAGTCACTCTTGCTTTCTTTCTATTGGAGGTACACAGGGTTCATTTTAGGTAAATCAAAAACCGATAAATTTGTGGCAGAATTAACCTATGCATGGCAAAATACATAAAATACATATTCTTTTGTTTTGTAATAAATAAACCTGTAGCATAATAAAGAATAGTGCAACTACCATTGAAAAAGTTGTATAAATAAAACAACTCATTACACATCAGGAATATTTTGTCCTATTAAGTTTACGATACATAAATTATCCCCCCCAATTCATACCATATCTTTTGTATTTGAAAGAGCTTTGAAAGTGAATATGAAAATCAAATACTTTAAAACTGTAGAATTATTTTATATTCAAGTTTTATGGTCTTTTTCTTTATAAAGGAGGGTCTGAATGTTTCCTATTTACTGTAACAATCTGAAGACAACATTGAGGGCTTCTCAAATGACAGCACCATGCACTGTACTAGTAATTTATCTATAAACTATATATAATCTCATTAACACAATGCAAAAAGGACATGCAGGAAGAGTCTTGGTTTTCACATTACATTTTTCATTCAAGTAAGCTTAAAAATATATTTTTCCATTTTCTTTCCTCCATTGTTTTTTTAAATAAACCATGGACCCTAAATGACAATCTTTCACCAAAATGTATAATATAATTCTTTGGTGTGCTTTGAACTCTTCCAGGGGTGGGGTGGGGGAGGATGATGTCTGAAAATAAATTAATTCAACTGTACAAATAAAAGTTTTCACATACAAGTTATTAACAATGACAAGTCTACATCAACCACTCACAGCACACAAAACAAATTTCTACAAACCCTGGGGAGGGGGTGTTTTAGGGTCTCTGAGGATAAATTAGTGCTCTTTAGTATATTTGTAGGATGTTTCTGATGGACTACATTCTTTCTGCACATGAGATGTGTTGTACCAAGTGAAAATAAATTGACTAAGAGTTATTGTCTTAGGTCCTTGACCTTTTTTATCCTGGCTTGACAGCTCTGGCAAAGGTCACACATTCATCAGTGTTTGGTGGTAACTATAAACCTTTTAAAAATTTTAATATGTATAGCAACTCCCTCCCCTCTTTTAATGTAAATCATATACTTCACACTGTCATTTTTCTAATGGAAGAGAGTTTGGTGTGCTAGGTGCTCAGGTGGAAGAAAATGCACTAAAATGCAGGTTTAGGCATTAAAAAATAAGACTTTTCTTTAAAAAAAAAAAGGTTGACACATAGTATAAAAGAATTGGCCTGCTTCAAAAACAGCTTTCAAAAAAAAAAAAAAAAACAACCAAAACCAAAAACTAGGCACAATGCCATCATCACACCTCTGCAGACTTGACTGGACATTGGCATCTCAAAGAACTTGGGAGCAAAAACAATCTATTACACAAGAAGTTTGGACACCATAAGGAGGCAGTATCTGAGATTTCAGATTAAAGAGGAGAAAAAAAAACCAGCAAAATTAAAAGAAAGCACTTGAATTTTTTCTATTTAGAAAAGGTCGGTTTCACAGTTGTTTCTTGCAGCAGCTTTTGTTTCTCTCCATTTCTGCTTACATAATCACAGTAGCATAATATATGGAGATATATTAAGGTTGCTGCACTTAAAAAAAAAAATCACGCAAGGGTCCTGAAGAAATAATCCCATATAAAAATACTGTGAAAGGGGCCGGGAGATGGCTCAGTGGAATAAGCACTTCCCTGGCAAGTGCAAGGGCCTGAGTTCAATCCCCGGTTCCAAAAAAAAAAAAAAAAAAAAAAAAAAAAAAAAAAAAAAAAACTGTGATAAGGCGAGATCAGTAATAAAAATGTGGAAATTAAACACCACAAATACTAGAACTTAAGGGTTTTCTACAAATACTTTTGGACACAGGCAGTCTGGGAATCTGTTGGCAATGCAGCAAGTGTGTGGTTTACAATCAAGAAGCCTTTGCAGAATTAGGGCCCAATGTGGAGACCCAAAAGCAGCCCACATTATGGTGTCAAAGGCATTGGAGAGGCACCCTGGGAAGCAGAGGGCCTGGTTGCTCCATGAAGTTTTGACTTAATGCTCTTCCTCTCCACCTTTAAAAATATAAATATATATACACTTCTTTTTTATTGGCAGTGTGTATCTTGATTAAGTAATCTCTCCATCCATTTCCCTTGGTACAATTTGCCCCCAGCCCTGTCCCCCCTGCAATGTACAAGTCCAGCTTGGTTGTTTTTTGTTTCAGAAAAAAAGCCCAAATATCTTAATTAAATTAATTAAATGTACAAATACCATAGGGTTTCAAACTGAATAAATAGGGCTAATTAGACCAGTGGCAAGTCTGAGTCATGCATTTGTCTCAGGCCCGGCATTGTCTCAGGTTAGGAGAGGGTCCAAGACTCCCACCTATTATTTCATCTAATAAGAATAAATTCTAATGTATCGTCCGCACAACTTCAGGGTTCCCATACATTTCCTCATCTTCAGATTCAGAGGTGGTTCCGTTGCTGGAAGGTGTGTGGAGGTGGCTGGGGGCCCCACCGGCCTGGCAAACATACCACTCATTGAGGTTGGTTACTTGAGGGGACAAAGTGCTGGAACGACTCCTGGCTGGGTCCAGCACCGGGGACAAGGGAGCACCCACCGGAGTCCCCATGGCTGAGTAACCAAGGGCTCCTGGAGAAGGTGGGGGGGACTTGCAGTGAATCTTCATGTGCTTCCTCAGAGAACTCGGGTGAGTGTAAGATTTGTCGCAGCCTCTGATCTTGCAGTAGTAGGGTTTGTCACTGGTGTGGACATGGGAGTGTTTCTTTCGATCACTGCTATTGGCAAACTTCCTATCACAGCCATCAAATTCACATTTGAATGGCTTTTCCCCTGTAACAAAACATAGAAAAGGTTACCAGTGGCTTTCCAGAGACCTCCCATTTGAGAGAAATCTTGCTAAACCAAGGGGTGCATTTTCCCATTCTCCCAAAGACCAACACCCAGTCTTACTCCTAATCTCAATTCACAACTTCCAGAATACAAGGGGGAAGAGCTCCTGCTAAGGACCCTCCACTAGTCTGGAGGTTTTGCTTGGACCTGGATTGTGGGAGGCTAGGTGTCAGCCCTTGTAGCACCAGAGGTCATGATGAGATCCTCAGGGCTGAAGTCCAAGATGTCCACTAAAGCCCACCAGGCACTCCAGTACTGACTCCTCACTCCCCCCAGGGTCTGAACACCCAAATCACGAGATCCTCTCTCAAGACTGACCCTAGGGCCAGGGAGATGGCTCAGTGGAATAAGTGCTTCCCTGGCAAGCACAAGGGTCTGAGTTCAATCCCTGGTTCCGACAAAAAAAAAAAAAAAAAAAAAAAAGACTGACCCTAATGATACTTCCATGGCTACAAAGGGAGATGGGAATAGAAGAAAAATAAACACATACACGAAATTAAGTTAGGTGGGCCTGCAGAAAAATGATAATGGAGGCCGGGGAGATGGCTCAGTAGAATAAGCGCTTGCCAGGCAAGTGCAAGGGCCTGAGTTCAATCCCTGGTTCAGGGGGTGGGGGTGGGAGAAAAATGATAATAGTTCTGTGTTTCAAGAGTATTCCCAGTATTTCATTGCTGGGAAGGAGCAGCAATTGAGGATGTGGAGGTGGGAAAGAAAGAAAACCAAAGATTCCTCTGTAGAAATAAAGGCACCTGTGAAAAATACAATCACACTGTAAGATTTTACAAGGCTGGCTTGACACAGAAGAGGCTGTTGGCCTCTGCAGTCTACCAGCTTCCTCCATGACATGGACAGAGTGGCAGAACAGAGTGTGAACAGACAAGGGTAAAGACCACACAGCAAATCTGCCGTTTGCCTACTGCCCTAAGCAAATTTACAACAGCATTTTCTATTGCTTAATGATCAAAATCGTTTTAGTAAAAACCTGGGGTCTCTTAGCCTATCACCCCTTTAAGCTGCTCTAACTACCTCAGGAACACAATGCCTTAAATACTAGGCCACAGCACAGGAAGTGGAAATGGTTAATCAGACAACTGGAGATTCAACCGCAATGCACCTGGTGTTAAAAGGCAAAAGGGAAAGGAAACAGTAACAGTAAATGGCAACTGAGTTTTTTCCCTGGCACTTTAGGATCTAGGGACTTGAAGTATTTCAAACCATAACTGAACAAATTACCTCATGCATATTATTATAACATTCTCCTCACATTTTGAGAAATTTAAAATAATAGCTGCTATTAGGCTAACATGTCACACAGGACAGTTTCCTTTCTTTTGGATGCTTTTTTTTTTTTTAAGAAACTATTATGAATCAGTTTAAGGCACATAAATTTTTTGTGGTAGATTTTCTTATCCAACAAATCTTTCAGTGCACACTGAAAGGTTTAATTGCTCACCAATGAAAGCAGTTTCAATGTCAGAGCATATTAGTACATCTGAAAGTATCCAGATGCCTGGAATATAACTTTTCCTACTTGGAAATACTATGTAAAATGAAATTATACATCACTCAAATACAGCTTTAACATTAATGTACAAATAGGAAAACACAGAACTCACAAAAGTGATCACAATCTTTAAAGTCTTTAAAAATGATCTACAACCAAAGTAAATCCCTTTCTACCAAGACATCAGTGCTTTGTCCTGCTTTCCGTACTACATTCTAAGTTGGTGATAATACTAATTTAACACAGCATTCTTGCTTTACAAAATTATAATCAACTCTTCAATATGGGGGCTTAAGTGATTTTATTCACTCTATGCAAATGTGTAATGGTGCTTGGAATTTTCATGCCTCTGCCCAATCCATATATCCCGGAATGTAAAAAATATCCGCTCTGAACATTGCTGGTTGCTTCACTGCATGTGAGAGGCAGTAAAACTCAGTGAATAGAGGAGGTGGAAATTAGGGATAAAGGAAAGATGGCCGAAGAGAGAAGAAAAAGGCAGTGTGAGCGAATGGCCCATGTTGTTTAGAGGCCCTACAGGGCACAGAGTAGATTCCATCCAACGAGGAAGGCTGAGACCCCAGAGTTTACATTTCAGATTTTGACAGAGGGGCCACGTCGGATTTTAACTATGTCGACTTGGTGGGAAAGTAAGGGAAAGCGCTGTTTGCAGATAAGTCAGGTCCTGTCAGTTCCTTCTAGAGAGCAGCCTAGAGGCAGGCTATAAACGCAATTGGGGGCACTGGGGTCAGGAACCAGGGCCTTCAGCAGTGGCCTGGGGATTAGTCCCTTTGATCCATCTGTTTTAGGATCCCGGATGACCCATAAAAAGGACAGCCTCCTAGTAAGGAGAAAAGGAAGTGTGGAAGGGTTCCCCTCCGGACACAATGCCCAATGGCTAAGCAGCCCAAACACCAGGCTGGATTGAGAAATGCTTTCCTCACTCCAGAGAATCCTGTGGGCTTTCCCTGGCAAGACCCAAGCTGCCACTAGGAGGAAAGGAAGTGCAACCACCCAGGCAACATGGACCGGGAAACAAACTTGCCTCAGGTCCCGGGGCACCCAGGATCTCCAGCTCCCTAACCCCCACACCCCTCCCCTCCCCGGAGCCTACTGCCAGGACCTGTCGGCGGTGGCCTGTCTCTCTGGGGCTGGAAAGCCAGAATCCCAGAAAGGGCCAGCCCACTTCTGTCTAAAGGCCTGGGAAGATGGGAAGGGTCTGAGGCAGCGTGCACAACGTTTAGAGGACCCCTTTGGGGACAGATGGGGCAGCTTTGTTGTCCCTGGCTGTCGCCCCATGGGGAAGTACTAGCTGGGCTCAGAAGCAAACAGCTGGCTTAGACGGCCAGGCCAGGGCGTTTTTTTACGACAGCCTGGTGAGAAGTTTCCTTTTGGAAAAATCATTAAAGCAGACTGATCTCGATTAGGGAAAAATGGAGGCTAGGGGAAAACATGCTCCCTGCCAGTCTTGTCCGGGCCCACAGGGGAGGCTTGTGGGTTTTCCGCCCAAAGGACAAGGCCTGGAGCACCAGCCTGAGGCCACCGAGACTCAGCTGCTCTGTTGTTCCCAACGCCCGGGCCAGCCGCTAGCCCAGCGTCAGGGCCCACGCCTGTGGCTGCCTGCTCTGCCTCCTCGCCGCAGCCGCGCCGATAAATCAGCCAAGTGATTAGTGAATGTAAACTCCGGTTACTTAAGTGTCCTCGGAGGGATAATATTGTCTGTCCCTATAAATCCCGGTTGCGCTAGCTCTCCGCAGCGCTCCTGCCCGACACACTCGTCGGTTCCTAGCCAACCCGGGCCATCCGATCGCCCCACGCTGCAACCCTCCTTCACTGGGCCATGGTACCCTCAAAGGCAGTGACTGGGGTCAGGTGGGGTGGCAGGATTCACCACGATGCTTGGGGAGTTCCATCAAGTTCCGCTATGCGGTAGGCCTCAACGATTGCGGAGGACCCGGCTTCCTCCAACTAGAACCTCTCCCTACAGGGGCTGGGGGAGTAGCCAAGGGGTGAAGGGTTTGTCTAGCGTGAGCCAGTCCCTGGGTATGACCCCAGCAGTGCAAAAAAGAAAGAAAAGCCAATGTCTCTAGCACTCTAGTGTGGGACATGTGCATGAGGGTCAGCGCGAGTGAGTGTGTGACTGTGCAAATGAAGGGAGTGTACACGTGGAACAGGAGTTGAGGGCATGCAGTGTCACAGGAATGGGCTGGGTGTGCGTGAGAATAGGAGCATGTGCAGTGTTATGAGCTGCGTGTACATGGACGCTGTGAATGGGGTGGGCCAGTGCAAGGGCGTGGGGCAGAGCAGGGTGGTCTCTGAGGGCCAAGGATGCTCTCCTCTGTAGTCTTCATTCTGCCTGGGATGCAAAGGGGTCCCCTCCACCCCGAAGGGGATCACACCAAGCAGGCCCAATACCGCAGCAAATGCCACGCGTGCCTCCCAAGGCGCGCGCGGCCTGAGACTCCTGGGGGGGGATCAGGAGATGCAGGGGGCGACCAGGCCCGGGCCCGCCCCTTGCGCGTGGCCCTCCCCGGGCTCCGGGGGTCCGGCGCGTGTGGGGGGGCTGCCGACCGTCCTGGGCGCCTTCCTGCTGCTCCGTCTGCGGCTGCTTCTGCTCCGGGCGGCGGCGGCGGCTGAAGCGCGTGGCCGGTCCCGGCGGAGGCTGCGGGCGCACTGGAGACTCCGCGGTGCGCGAAGCCGGCGCAGGGCCTGTGTGTGCTATCGAATTACTTATTCGTAGAAAAAAAGAGGGGGAGAGAAAAAAAAAGAAGTCACATGTCCGGGTTATACGACTGCGAGGAGAAGCAGCAGAAGGAGGGAAAAATGAAAGCGAGCAGAAGCGGCGGCGGAGGCGGCGCAGGCGGCGGCGGCCGGGGACAGACACCCACCTGTATGAGTGCGCTTGTGGATCTTGAGGTTCTCGGAGCGCGCGAAGACCTTGCCGCAGCCCGGGAAGGGGCAGGGGAAGGGCTTCTCGCCGGTGTGCACACGGATGTGGTTGATGAGCTTGTACTTGGCCTTGAAGGGCTTGCCCTCGCGCGGACAGTCCTCCCAGAAGCAGACGTGGCTGCTCTGCTCTGGGCCGCCCACGTGCTCCACCGTGACGTGGTTCACCAGTTCGTGCATGGTGCCGAAAGTTTTGGAGCAAGGCTTGGCGCAGCCGGCGGGGGCCGGGGACGGTGGCGGCGGTGGCCCGGCCAGCTCGTCCGGGTCGATCCACTTGCAGATGAGCTCCTGCTTGATTGGCTGCCGCATGTAGCGCAGGAAGGCCCCGGCCGACCCTGGGAGGTGGGGGTGGTGCGGGGGTTGCGCGGGCGCCGGTGGCGGAGCCGGGGGCGGTGCGTGGTGCTGCTGCAGGTGGGGCCCGGGCCCCGAGGCCGCGGCCGCAGCCAGGTTCAGGTTTAAGTTCACGGCTCCGTAGCCGTGCAGGGCGGCGGCCGCCGCGGCCGCCACTGCCCCGTAGTGCGCGTCCCCGGAGCGTGGGGCGAAGGGCGGCTCGGCGCGGCCGTACAGCTCGGCCGCCGCGGCTGCTGCGGCCGCTGCCAACCCCAAGCGCATCTGGCCGTTGAGCGGGTGTGGGTGGCCACCGGGGGCCCCCGGCGCGTCGTGCAGCGCGGGGAACAGCGCGGGGCCGCCGCCGCCGTCCGCGCCCGCGTAGGTGCCGCTGGCGGAGATGAACATGCCGGCCGGGTGGGGAGGCGGGGCCGGGTGCTGGGGGGAGCCGGTGCCCGACCGATGCTCCCCTCCGAGCGGGGCCCCGTGCATGGCCGCCGCGGGGGCCGTGGCGGAAAGGTCCCTCCGGAGGACGAAGTCCCTGCTGTGGCCTTTGCCGCTGCTGCCGCCGCCGCCACTGTTGGTGGTGGTGTAGCCCGAGAGGGCAGGAGGAGGAGGAGAAGGCGGGGGAGGGGAAGGGGGAGGGGGTGAAGGGGAGGGAGGAAGAGGTGGGGCTGGGGGCGGGGGCGCAGAGGGCCGCGAGCTACTGCTGCCCCAGCCCCCTGGGTGGGTGCCGGAGCCAGGGTGCGCGACCGCGGCTGCGGCGTGCATGGCGGCCGCCGGAGCCTCGGGCTGCGCCGGCAGCGCTCTGGCGGGAGCGCTGTGGCCCGGCGCGCTGGCCTGGGCCATGTGCTCGGGTCCGAGCGCAGGGACGGCCACGCCAGGGTCAGCGCCCAGCTCCAGCGAGTGGAGGAGATGCGCGGCGGCGGCGCGGAGTTGGGAATGGGCGGACGGGCAGGCCAGCATCGGGAAGCCTGTCATGTTCTGGAGCGGCTCTGCCTGAGCCGTTGCCAAATCCGCTAATCTCAGCACTGGCAGGTTCCTCTTGCTCAAAGGGGGCTCCATCAGAACTACACAATCAGGCCCGTGGACCTTCACTGGAGGGACTTTTTTCCCTCTGCTCGCCTTCAAAAACATGTATATATTAGGCGCTCTTTAACTTCTTTTGTCCTGGTCTCCCAACTCTGCTTATTCCTATTCCCACTCTGTCCTCCAGCGATTGGCAGAGTGAACGCCACATTGGAGCTGCACAGTGGGACCTAGATTTTGGATATGGTGCGTGTGGGATTGGAGGGAGCCGCGTGATTGGCAGCAGCCTCGGCTGTCCGATTGGCTCCCGTTCAGGGCCTCGGCCCAGCAGGGAACCGCCTCCGTGCTCACGACCGCCTGCGCTTTCTCTTCACGCTCCCTCCTACAGCGAGCCCAATGTCCCCGCCTCCCCCGGGAGGCCCGAGTTGCACTTGCGGAAAGTTTGCGCTTGACCTGCGCGCGCAGCACGGTGCGCTCCGTTGCTGCACCTTGGCTGCCCACTCCAGCACGCGGTCTGACTGCACCTGGAGGCGAGGGACATGAGAACCCCCAAGAAGCAAAAGGCGGAAAGAGAACCCACAACTTCAGAAACCACCGCCTCACTGCTCACAGCGTCCCTCTAAGCATCCAAACATCCTTTACCATGTCCTCCTCCTCCTCCTCCTCCTCCTCCTCCTCCTCCTCCTCCTCCTCCTCTTCCTCCTCCTCCTCCTCCTTCCCCCCCCCAAGATCCTGGGCTGCTCACTGGGAAGGAGAGTGAACGTACTGGTGATGCCAGAAACTTTTTATTTGGACTCCCAAGTCTGCCCAGTGTCCACCTAGAGCGCAGACAGGAGATGGAATGAGGAATATTTGTTAAAATCTATTGGTTGAAAAACAGCTTGTGTAATTTGGCTCCGCAAAAACAGGTGAAGTCAAAATAAATCTTTTACCTGAGGAACCATTTTCCTTCGACTTTTTTCATGAAGTTCCTTTCAACATGGTTCAAATGAGTTGCCCAGAAGTGTAATCTCACAACTCATCTGCTCTAGAGTTGCCACTTTCAATTAGATCTACCGCAGGGGCGGGGCGGCGGGAATGTCGGGCAGCGACGCTAACTTTTGCCTTTCGGAGGTCCAGGGACCAGGCAGATCCAAACGGCGGCTCCCCAGAGAGAAGCCGCTAGATTAGCAGTGGCCTGGCAGCAGAATTCATCCCTCGTGCCCAGAACGCACCCCTCATGTGTACCGCCGTTTCTGTGAAAGGAACCCCAGTTAGAATAAATCCAATAAAATAGTTTATAAAGCAAGACATAGCCCGCTCTGTTCACTACCAGTGTAGGCTTTCACCTCAGCATTTTCTAGCCAACTGAGATGTCTTATTTGAAAGGCATAAAAACTGGCTTGAAAGAAAGGAATCTCATCTCTTTCCAGCAAATCAGTTTTTGACAAATAGGAATGAACCTCTACATCACTTTTTTTTTCCTGCATCACTTTGAAGGGTAGAGAAATGAAACCCCCCCAAAACAGAAGTTTTACCAAAATGTTATTTGCCAGAATTTAAAAAAGAAAACATTTGTAAAATTTGTGATGTTCCAAACTGGTCAAAAATTAAACTCGGGATTAGATTTTTAAAAAATGTTTGTTTCCCTCCACAAAAGTACTTGTAAAAAAAAGTAGTAATGGATAGAATGTGATTTCCTTCCTCACTCGGGGATACAATGAAACATGTTACCAGCTCTATGTTTGCTTGCTGCAGGTAAAAATAGATCACACAAAGCCATCATTGGGAAATGGCCTTGGGGAGAAGTGAGAGATAGTCCAAGAGTGAGTTTGGTAGTGCTATTGACATTACTACTTAAGGGAGAGCTTGCTTCCCTAGGACCCTTGGAAATGTCATTTCTCTTACAAAACTGACAAGCAAACAAAGACAATAATGCTATCAAATTTCAGATGTTTTTTTCTTTAAGCTTTAAATGAAGTTCAAAGATAAGGAAATAATAAAGCACAAGTGCAAACCCATCAAAAAATTTAATAAGCAACAAATACATCTGTATTTGAAGGGGACAAGAGCACTTTCACAGTTTTGCAAGACTTAAAACATCTCAAGCCAACCACAAAAAGGTCGGTGGAGACCACACCATGCTTTATAAAGGAAGCATCCTATTGGGAATTATCACCACTGTCTTCATTTCCTCTCAAAACATTTCAAATGAGTGGCCTTTATTTGAATTTCTTGGCAATGAACATCTATACTTGCAGTAATGGCAGCCTTGAGTTCAGTCCTGCAGGTTATACGTAAAAACAAAACAACAAAACAAAAAAAGGAAAGAATAACGAAGAAAATAAATACAACCTAGGCTATAATATGGACTGTTGAGCATTTTTATTGTGCAATAAAATGGGTACCTCTACTCCCTTCAAAATAGCTTTTCGTCAAAATTATAACTGCTTTGTTTTATTGAATTGCTGAAATTTAATGGTTTAATGGGTGGAGGCATGAAGGAGAGGCTGTAAAAATGTGAATAATGCTGCAGCACAGCCGTGCGGAATCTGGAACCCGCCTCCTTGTACAACTCTTGTTAAACACAGCGTGATATGTATCTGCTGTCGATTTAATATGTCTTAATTCAAATATAGCTCCCTGATCAATTTCTTTTTATGGAAGTCTTAAAAAAGAAAATACTTTTTAAGGAAATAACAGAGATTTGGGTAGTAACTGGGAAGAGGGATATTTACAAAATGAGTTTAATGAATATTTGCAGATTTATGACCAAACTCAGACTCTAAAAAAGATAATTGACTCAGGTAGATCGACTTGAGATGCTAATTCTTAAAAGAAAAGACTGGAAGCAAAATTTCAATCAACACCAATAAGGCGCCAATAAGCCCCCTGCCAATTAAACCTGAGAATAGGCCTAGCTAGATGGTCATCAGGAAGGCTTGCAGTGGATTTCCGGGATTGCCTTTCTCTATAAAAGAGCTTTTTATTTTGTAGACGCGCTTTTTGTCATTGTGATGACCTGCCTGACCCCAGGTGTGCTGTTTCTTTTTCAAGCTTTTTGGGAACCAAATCAAACCCCCTCAAATGCTGAGTTTCTAAAGGCCCAACAACTGTGTCACACTTCCTAAATAAACACCAACAATTTCCAGGGCGTTGAAGAAAATAACGTATTCGTTTAAAGAGCAGGGGTCTATAAACATCCAAATGCCAGTTCTCTTTCTGTTGATTTAACCCCAAATTTGATGGTGATAGTGGTCCTCAGGGCAATGCCCCAGGCTCATGCCCTTGCCTGTGCTTTTTGCAGCAGAGGGGCTTGTACAGAGGCATTGAAGCTTTGAGGAAGCAAGCCATAGAAATGTCCTTTCAGCACGAATGCAGCCTTTTGGAGCTGTTGATTTCTAGACCTTTGGGTTGCACCCGGAACCCCAGTCTCCTTCCAGTTCTAAACAAAGAGGCTGAGGAGGTGAGAGGCATAGTAAAGGTCCAGCTGGCTGATGCCCGGCTGCCTCACTGCAGTTCAGCTGCCTGGAGGCCGCGGGTCTGGTCTCTGGGGCTTCTGGGGTGCTTGGTTTCCAGCTATGTGCAGGGAAGCCGGCAGCTCCCTGGCTCTGTGGTGCCCTTGGTTCCTCTCTGAACGCAGCCAAGTTTTCTGTGATGAGTGTGGGCAATTAATAAACTCTAAGGGAAGTGAATTGGACATTTCCTGGCTTTTGAGCCATTGTTTGATTGTTTCTGCAGACAGGGAGAGATGGGGCATTTGGGGATTGTGAGGTGGATAAGAAAAAAGGTGGGGGACCCATCCAGCCATCTTTTATTGCCCCTGCAATTGCTTTACAACTCATTGGTTCTGAGTGGTTTCAGAGAGAGCAGCCTCCTTGCAGAAAGGCTGGGTCCTTGGGGCTTTGGGATGGTGGGTGTAATTTTGGCTGTGCCAGAGGTAGGTTTAAGGGTGAGCAGGACACCCAGATGAGCCCCAGGACCTATGAAGCCCAATGCAATGGAGCTAATGGGTGCTTAGGGCCAAGGTATCAGACTGCTGGAAGATACTGGGAGGGTGGTGGTGGTCCCCTAAGATGTCTCTGTAAGATGAGACTAGCTGGGCAAGGGAGTGAGCAAAGCAGCATTTCAATGGCAATTTGTCAGGTTCAGAAGTAATGGGAATTTCAGGTTCAAGTTTTTTCCCAAATCAGATTCACCGGAAGTCTAGGGTACAAGATCCAGAAAACAACTTCTCCTAGTCTGGCCCACCCTATTTGAATTGGGCAGGGAATTCCTACTCTTCCACCCTGGACACTTGATATCTGCCTTACAGTAGGGGCTACATCTGGGCTTAGGGACCATAGTGCTCTTGAATCACCTGTGATTTAAAGATCTCTGAGTGCTTCTCTTTCTCCACCCTTCTGAGATCCTATTGAGTCTTCAGGGTATGTGTAGGGGCTGGCTAAGTGTACCCAAAAATGTACTTCTTGCTAAAGTTTATGCTCTCTGTGATACCTGCAGAACTTAATGAAGATAAGGCAGTAATTAAGACTGAGATGTTAGATTCCAATGGATGTTTATATTGTTTGGGTAGTCTAGAGTTGGACCCCACCTTAGGTCTACTTGACTCTTTATGGTTAAAAGCTGTTGAAAAATGGTCTCCTTCTACCTCCCCACTACTAAATAATATGTTGTGTAAAATTGGCCTGTCATCATACTCCCATTTGGTTATCAATAATTTTTACTCTCAGAGTTGGAAGTTGGAGAAAGGCCTTTGACCTACATTTGACCATCCGTGTAGGTAATGTCATGGGAACACATAATTGTGCTCTAAAATAGGCTCAGAAGTTAGCCTCCCTTAAGTGTAAAATTCATATAATTACTTAATATTTATTTTATTGACCTCAAAAAATTATTTTTCCTACATGTCTAATCCTTTAGGGTATTTTAAAATAGGAGATAAAGGAGGGGCAAGCAAGGTATGCAATTTTTAAGATCTCAAAGTTGGGTGGGGGAGGAGTCCCCATACTCAACATCTTTTTCAGTAACTATACTTCAATATTTGAAGAAGCTGTTGGGATAAATCAAATAGTGACACGTTGATGGATTTACTTGTGTAAGCAATATGGTTGACATATGGCATTGTTATTTATGAATGACAGCATAAATTGTATTACAAAGTCTATTGCAATAATACTGCAGTTTATTGGAAAGCTGCTCGCCTGTCGTCCTATTCAACCTCCCTGGATGTAGTTCGCCAGGAAGCCCAAATGATAACGGTCCTTAGAATAATTAAACACATTCATGTAAACTGATGCCTCCTGTTTTTTTCCTTTGTTTGTTTTTGTTTTGTTTTGCAGCAGTGGAAACACTCCCATCAGCAAGAAGGAGATATGTAAGGACAATTAGTTCTTTTCCTTT